CATATAATGAAAAATAAAAGCCTTTCTCCAACCTTACTTCCCACATCTCACTCAATTGAACTTTTTTTTTTAAAGTGTCAGACACGACTTATCGACTTTCACTTTATTATTTATTTGGCCGCACTGGGTTTGGGTTAGGTCTTAGGTGAGGCATGTGGGATCTAGTTCCCTAACCAGGGATTGAACCCTAGGCCCTCAGCATTGGGAGCCTGGAATCATAACCACTGGACCACCAGGGAAGTCCCTCTATTGCACTTTTAAACAAATTCTTGTGTATATATCCAGAAATTATACACATAGACACTGCTTTGCACAGAAAAGTGTTCCCCCAAATTCATATGTTGAAGATCTAACCACCCATGTGATTGTATTTGAAGACAGGGCCTTTATGGATGTTCAGTTCAGTTCAGTCGCTCAGTCGTGTCCGACTGTTTACGACCCCATGGACTGCAGCACGCCAGGCTTCCCTGTCCATCACTAACTTCTGGAGCTTACTCAACCTCATGTCTATCGAGTAGGGTTACCATCTCATCCTCTGTCATCCCCTTCTCCTCCCACCTTCAATCTTTCCCAGCATCAGGGTCTTTTCCAATGAGTCAGTGCTCCGCATCAGGTGGCCAAAGTATTGGAGTTTCAGCTTCAGCATCAGTCCTTCCAATGAATATTCATGAATGTAATTAAGGTTAAATTAGTAGGGTCCTGATTCAATAGGGTTAATGTCCTTATAAGAAGAGACATGAGAGGACTTCCCTGGCAGGTAAGACTCTGTGCTTCCAAAGCAGGGCCTGCAGGTTTGATCCCTGATCAGGGAACTAAGATCCCACATACTGTGCAGCTTGGCCAAAAAAAAATTTTTTTTAAAAAAAGAAAAGACATGAGCGTGCACCCCTCTCCTCCCCCACCTGTGGCAGATACAGTGGGAAGGTAGTTGCCTGCAAGTCAAGAAGGGAGATCTCACCAGAATCCAACTATACTGGCATCCTGAACTCACACTTCTAGCCATTAGAACTGGGGAAATTTTTTTCTCTTGGTTGAGCCACCCAGTCCGTGGTATTCTGTTATGGCAACCCAAGCCGATTTGGACATACACACATATAAATGCATGTAAATACATGGGAACATATGAAACACACTCTTCTGTCACCTTCTCGGTCTCTAAGGCCTATCTCCACACCAGCATATCCACCTCATTCTTTGGGTGGTTATGTATCGTGTGGATGTCCCATAAGTGGTTTTTCTAGTCTTCTGTTCCTGGACACTTAGGGTGTCTCCAGGCTTTTGCCACTACGGTGAATGTCTTCATAAACTTCAAATGTCAGATGTGGGAGTATATTGGTAGGTCAAATTTATAGAGGCAGAATCCTATCAATATGTAAATGTGTTCTCATATGTCTTTTATTAAAAAAAACAAAAACCTCCCTCTGTAGTTTACTTTCCCATCTCAGTGACAACATCTCCTTCCTCTTGACATTGAACTTTTAAAAAGCTATTTATTTGGCTGTATCAGGTCTTAGTTGTGGCATGCAGAATCTTTGATCTTTAGTTGTGGCATGTGGGATCTAGTTCCCCGACCAGGGATTGAACCAGGGCTCCTTGCATTGTGACCAGGGAATCTTAGCCACTGAACCACCAGGGAAGTCCCTTGACATTGAACTTTTAAAACAACTGTCTACACTAGTGCCAGGTACTGTCCCAGATGCTTTCTACATATTCATTCATTTCATGTTTTGAAGGACCTCATGAGGCAGATACAATTTATGTCCCCATTTACAGGTGAGACTGAGGCGTTAAGATCTTGACTTACCCAAGCACACTCGGCCACTTTGTGTTAAATTTGTACTGAGGCATTCTGGTTTCAGAGTCCATGCTCTTAACTCTCTGGCTGGTGAATGTACGAGCAAATAAGCAGTCAGATGAGACTGGGGAATGATTTTCAAAAAGCATAAAATGTTATGGAGGTTTAAGAACTGTCTCAGATTTCTTGCAGCAAAAGTTTCCAACTTCAAGAGGGGAGGAGAGGGTGAGATGGATGGAAAAGGTAACATGGAAACTTGCATTACCATATGTAAAATAGATAGCCAATGGGAATTTACTGTAGGCTCAGGAAATTCAAACAGGGGCCCTGTATCAATCTGGAGGGGTAGGATGGGGTGGGAGATGGGAGAGAGGTTCAAAAGGGAGGGGATATGTGTATACTTATGGCTGATCCATGTTGAGGTTTGACAGAAAACAACAAAATTCTGTAAAACAATGGTCCTTCAATTAAAAAAAAAAAAGTTCCCAACTTCAGTTGGAGCAGTGGCTTAGCCAAGCTAGGGAACTACCCGAGTCTTCACTGCCACATCTGTAGGGGCCAAAGCTTGATGAACACAAGCATGCCCACCTGGTTCATTCCTTCTTTGACCTGGGGTCTTCTCAGAGACAGTTTCAGAAATGGGGGATCCAGGAGGGCATCTGGAATTCCCAATGGCACTTTATGCTTCATTATCTCTGTTATTGTTTAGTCAATAAGTCTTATCTGACTCTTTGCAACCGCATGGACTATAGCCCATTAGGCTCCTCTATCCGTGGGCTTTCCCAGGCAAGAATGCTGGAGTGGGTAGCCATTTCCTTCTTCAAAGGATCTTCCTGACCCAGGGATCGAACCTGGGTCTCTTGCATTGCAGGTGGATTCTTTACCGACTGAGTCACCAGGGAAGCCCCTCATCATCTCTAACTTTGTCCAGTCCCTGGGTTTCTCCCTTCTTAGCTGAGAGGCAGGAGAGTGACACTGGGCATTGGAGTCATACAGAGCATATTCAGACCCAACTTCTATGGCCTCAGTTTTTATGTCTATAAAATGGGAATAAGATCAGTACATAGTAGGATAATTCTATGAGATTATGTTCTCAGCAGCTCATAAATGCCAGTGGTGATTACTTTAGTTATCCTGTTAACTCAGGATATAGGAAGGCAAAGTGGGGCCCTCAGAAGAGCATAGGCATTGGGATCGGAGGGAGCTGAATTCAAATCCCATATCTGCTCCTTACTAGCTCTGCGACTTTATACATGCCATGGAATCCAGAGGGTCACCTGCCACTTAAATTTCCAAAACAAGGTTTTCCCTGGTAGTGGAGTGGCTAAGATTCCACACTTCCAGGGCCGGGGGCCTCTGTTCAACTTCTGGTCAGGGAACTAGATCCCACATGACTCAACTAAAGATCTCACACGCCACAGCTAAGAGCTGGTGCAGCTAAATAAATAAATAAACTTTTTTAAATCTAAAAAATTTTTTCCAGAACAGTTTGGGAATTTGACGTAAGATTGGCAAGTCCTTCCCCCACCTGCCATATAAGGATATTAATAATTTTTAAGGAAATCTAACATTCATTATCACCATTGTGTGATACATGAAAGGATATTTTAATACTCCCCCTCCCAAAAAACCTTAGGAAGAATATAATCTGAGAATAATGAACTCAGAACCCCATCCTTGTTTTTCTTATTTCACCCATCTCCAGCATTTGGAAATGGGCACTTCTGGTAAGTCTCGTTTTTCTTAGTTGTAAAGTGGACTGAGAAGTCAGACGCCTGCCTCTGTGATCTAGCTGATGTACTTGGTGCAAAGCAGGAGCTGAGGGGCTGTTGGTACCTGGTCTCCTTTATTTATTTGGCTGTGCTGGGTGTTGGTTGCAGTACAGACTCTTCACTGCAGCATGCGGGGTCTAGTTCCCTGACCGGGGATCGAACCAGGGTTACCTGCCTTGCGAGCTCGGAGTCTAAACCGCTGGACCATCAAGGAAGCCCTTTCGGCCTTCTTCTTGAGCTGGATTCCCCTCACCCCATCTCCTCTGCTCCATTTCCATCTCTCCTCTTTGACCCTCCTGAGGACCCAGACAGGGGCCAGAAAGAGCCACTGCATCAGATCTCAAAGAACTTTATTGAGGGCGCAGGAAGGTGATATTGGAGACACAGGTACAGGTCGTAGACTAGGTGGGAATGTCCAAGAGGGAAGAACACTCATTCCATCCAGGATCATGTAGGGACTCTGCGAAAAGGGGCTTGTTTTCCATCTGGGTCTTTGAATGAAGCTCTCTCCAGCCAGGCAGGGAGTGGGCCCCAGCTGGAGGGCAAGGTCTGAGGGAGAGATTTTACTATCTCTAAAGACAAAAGGTCTTTTGTGTGTTTTGATAACTGGGTGGGGTGGGGAGAGGAGGAAAGGTTTCTGGGAATGAGAATGAGATTCCGTGGGAGAAATAAAGAAAGGAGAGACTGACAGAGAGAGCCACAGGAAGAAAAAAAAAAATCTTAAAAGAGAGAATTCCTTCAGGCAAGCTTTGCTTTTAGCCGGTCAGTTCTGAGCATTCAGAGAGGTGTCTAGAACAGCCTGAAGGAGATGTCAGAGCCTGAGCTTCAACCTGGGTGCCTTCCCAGACAAGCCGTGCAGCTTCAGTAAGTCATGCCCTTTCGCTAAGCCTCAGTGAAACCTGTGGAAAGGGTGCCTGGACCCTGAGGTGGCTTCAGCAATGTACACTGGGGGTGGGGTGTCCACAAGCTAACTCCAGGTATTTTGTAAAAGCTTGGAACTGAAATGGTGCCAAATCAGAGAGGGAGACCACTGGTCTGCAAAGATGGCCCAGAGGCTGGTTGGCTATTATTGAACAAATGAAGGTAGTTTATTGGATACACAAAGACTTGCAGGTCAGAGGCCCGAGAGTCCAAAAGCTGCTGCCACTGCTTCTTCCAGCCCTGGCTCTCTGAGAACTGAGTCAGTTGAGGATGCAGGCCTCTTTCCCGGAGGCCGGAGGAGAAAAAGATGTAACAGGTAAGAAGGAAAGCAAGGAGGCTGTTTTCTTCTGGCGCATGCTGGACGTTTAGGAAATGGAAGCAGGAGGGAAGATTCAGACTGATGGAGTGAGCCCAACTCACATCCTTAGAAGAGTATTCCTTGACCCTGTCTTGGGGAAGGGTCTCTTGGAGCATCAGGCCCAGCTGGAGGCCTGCCAGAGCCCAGGGAAAATTCAGAACCACAGGAGTTTGTTGGACTTGTGTCTCGAGAAGCACATGTTGCTGCTGCAGCTGCCTTGGTAGATGGGGGGGCAGGCGGAACACGGCCTCCCCGTCTTGTACGGCGCCTCGCCGATCCAGTTACCCCTGGAAGAGAAGAGGTCCCAGGGAGGCGGGGTGGGGGGACAGTTACATGAGCTACCTTCACACTGGTTTTCAAATATTAGCAGGGCTGCTGACTGGCCCTGTAACCAGGTCACAACTGCAAGCCTCAGTTTCTTCACCTCTAAAACCAAGAGAAGACATTCCTCCCACACAGGAATGAGCGTATCCAAGCACCTGGCTTGGCAGATAAGCAGTTCCCCAGGAAGTGCGATTTTTTTTAATCCTTCCACACAGCCACCCCACCCCAACCACCGCCCCCCCCACCACAAACACAGAAATCCCTCCCTCCCATCTCCAACAAGCAGATCTGAGTTCTGATCCTGGTTCTGCCAGCTGGTGACAGAAAAAACCATCTCATTTCTTTCTTTTCTTTTTAAGATTTTTTTTTAATGTGGGCCATTTTTAAAGTCTTTATTGAATTTATTACATTATTGCTTCTGTTTTATGTTTCGGTATTTTGGCTCCGACCAGGGATCAAACCCGCACCCACTGCATTGGAAGATGAAGTCTTAACCACTGGACCACTTAACCACTTAACCTCTTACCCAGGGACCACCAGGGTAGTTTAGTCCCTAAACTACCTCATTTTTTGAGCCTTGATTTTATCTTCTGAATAAGTTAATGAAATGGTGTCCATTAAAATTATGCAAAAATACTTTGTAACTTACAAAGAAAGAAAGATAGCACTAAGTCATGTCCGACTATTGGGATCCCATGAACTGTAGCCCGCCAGGCTCCTCTGTCCATAGAATTCTCCAGGCAAGAATACTGGAGTAGGTTGCCATTTCCTTCTCCAGGGGAACTTCCCAACCCAGAAATCGAACCCAGGTCTCCCACATTGCAGGCAGATTCTTTACCAACTGAGCTATGTGGGAAGGCCCTGTAACTTACAAGGTGATATGCAAATAAGAACTAGAATAATTAGATACTGGGTGCAATTCAACCATGGGGGACGTGCCTGTGAAGCCTCTTTGTGGCCTCTGCTGAACATTTATTTTTCATGGACAGTCTTATCCAAAAACCATCCTAGCTGCTATGGAGTTAATCTTCTCAATGGATTTGGGGAGGTGGGGGGATAGGAAGCCATTGCTTAAAGGTAATGGTTTCTCACTGGGGTGATGAAAACATTTTGGAAATAGAGGTGATGGTTGTACAACACTATGAATGCAATTAATGCCACGAAATAGTATATAGTACTTAAAAATGGCTAAAATGGCAAATTTTATGTTTTATGTATATATTTTACCAAGATTGAAAAAGATGAATAATGTGATACACTAAAAACCCATTAAGTTGTACATTTCAAATGGATAAATTGTATGGTATGTGAATTATATCTCAATTAAGCAGTTTTTTAAACAAGAACAAACCAAGAATTCCCTGGCCATCCAGTGGTTAAGATTTGGTGCTTTCACTTCCAGGGGCCATGTTTGATTCCTGGTCAGGGAACTAACATCCCACAAGCCTCGAGGCACGGCCAAACAAACAAAACAAACCTTCATCCCATCATTCTCCTGCTCAAGAACTTTTAGTGGTTTCCCATTGCCTGTGCAGGGGTTTGCAAACTTTTTATGTAAAGGGCCAGATATTAAATATTTTAGGCTTGGGGGCCAAATGTCTTTATTGCATGAAAGCAGCCCTAGGGGATATGTGAACAAATGTCGTGGCCATGTTTCAATAAAAGTTTATTTATAAAAATAGGCAGCAGGTTGGATTTTGGCTGTGGGCTGTAGTTTGCTGGCCTCTAGCTTATGAATCACAACTACAGCTTGGGTCAGGCCTTCCAGACTGCTCGGGCTTTCCTAAGAGCTCAGCTGGTAAAGAATCCGCCTGCAATGCAAGGGACCTGGGATCGATCCCTGGGTTGGGATCTGGAGAAGGGAAAGGCTGCCCACTCCAGTATTCTGACCTGGAGAATTCCATGGATTGTATAGTCCATGGGGTTGCAAAGAGTTGGACATGATTGAGTGAATTTCACTTTCCAGACTGCTCTAGTGGCACATGGATCCAGCGTACACACCGGTTCTTCCCACAGCTCTCTTCTCCATCCCACCCACAGAGTTCTCTTTTCTCCCTCTTCATCCACCTCAAGGCCTAAAATCAGTTCCCCAGATCTTGCTCAGGGCAGCCTAATAATCTCACCACTAGCTTGTAGTGCTAGTGATCTCTCAAGTTCCAGTGACTTATTTTCTCACACATCAAACACTCTTTGTAGGCAGAAATGGAATCTTTCTCCTCCAAATTGATGGCTGAATGAAAATAAGTAAAGTCAGCCAAAGTGCTTAGAAAAGTGCATTTCTGGTTTCATATGGGTTCATTCATTCATTCATTCAACAAAGACTTTTAGTGGGCATCAGGATTTGTGTCAGATGCTGTGAGTCCACAGTTTTCAAAAGGTGCTCCTGGAAGTTTAGGGGCAGCGAATGTGGGTTGGTGGAGACACCAGGAGATGATGGAATAAAAGTCATTCTTTTTTTTGTTTAATTCCACCACTTGAGGGAAAGTTCTGCTTTCCCTAAAACAAACAAACAAACAAAAAAAAAACACCACCAACACCAAGGGTTTGAAATCACTGTAGTAAAAGGATGTCAAAATGAATCAGGTCTATTTCCTGCTCTCAAAGACTTCTCTTGACCTCTCTCCCACCTAGCTGATTGGAGAGTCTGGAAGAAGCAGCTCAGCATATTCACTGCATCCTTCCTTTCTTTCCTATGGGATCTGCCTGCCTGCAGGGAGCATGTGTCCTTGGTTGCTCTGTTTCTTGTGGGAAGCTTAAAGGGGCCAGCACTATACTTAGAAGAGGCCTCTGGTTGTCCAGTGTTGCTTGTTAATGGAGGTGAAGATCTAAGTCAACAGCAAGCAGCAAGCTCTTTGCAAGCCCACTTGGCTGGCAGATCTAAAACACATTCTCCACTACTGGCTTCATCAGGGAGACTGCCTATCCACTAACCACCTGCCTTGGTCTTCTGTCTATCTCCCAGTTGACTGTGGAGCTTGAGTAAAGAAAAAGGATTCTCGATCAACTCTGTAAAAGTACCAAACTGTATGGTGTGCAGGTTTTTTAGAAAAGAGGAAGGCAAGGTGTCCTGTGTGTCTTCCTTCTCTGAGAATCCTGCCCACCCCACCTCGTGATCCACCCTCCTGCCCCAGTCCCCTTGACTTCAAAGTGCACTCACTTAATGGCGTAGTTGCAGACCAGGTACACAGCCTGGCGCCAGGTGCTGCCCCAGACACGGATGCTGCCACAGGTGTGGATGGCACAGCCCAGCCGATTGGAAGATGCCCACACCATCTGAGAGGGGAGGACAAAGGCAAGGGAGGCTGTGAGAAGGACTTGGGCCTGGAAGGTTCCTGCGTTTGCTCAGTTCAGGGTGGATGCATTAGCTGAGGTTTTCCTGGGGGAGGCATCTGTCTCAAAAGTGAGAGGATGGAGACATATGGTACTATTAATATAATGTTTCCCAAACTTTATTTTTTACTACAATCGACAGTAGGGAAAACAGTTTTGTATTGTTACCCAGTGGACCAACACACATACACACACACACACACACACACCTACCCCTGTTGCAAAAAAGTTTTATGAACTAATATTTAATCTTATCATATAGAATGATATATGCTAGTGTTTTCTATTGTGTTCAATTAGAATTCTTTCTTTTTTTCCCCCCTGGTGAACAATGCTTGAAAATCATTGTTGTGTTGGAGATTAGAGCACAAACTTTGAAGTTAAACAGCCTTGGGTCAGTTTCTCAATATCAAAAGCTGTGTGACTTTGACCAAGTCACTTAACCACTCTGTGCCTAGTTTCTCCTTTGGTTAAATGGAGATAATAATATCTTGGATGTCAGGAAGGACATTTAGTTTAAGCCTAACATTTCCTAGGGGGGTTCTATCTTCAGTTTTTGACATTTACTGCAAATAAGTCACAGAGAAATTGGCAGGTCTCCAAAAGAAGACATTTGTCCTACCATTGATCCTGTTTCTTATAACACTATACTGCATTGTATTTTTATGTACAATAAGTGGTAACATCTCGATATAAGCACTCAAAATATACTACGATTTTTGGGTAATCTTATTTGGCATTTCTTTTTTAAGATAGCACAGCCTTAGAAAATAGAAAAAATACTGGGAAACGTTTGGACCTATTGAAATCAAAGGCCCTCTTGAACTTGTCGGACCACACATCTCCATTTTGGGGTCACACAACATGGTCCGCTGACCTAAGACACACAAAATAAGATCCAGTTCATCTCAGTTCAATGTGTAAAGAGGAACAGGCTATGTAAAAGGGAGTCCGTACAGGCCTATGCTTTATTTCTACTGCTGTCCACCACATTCTATTTTTCCCACCAGCCCTTCATCCCTACAAAGGGGTACCTGGGTATAGTGGGAGCAGACGGGGCCACTGCAGTGCCAGGGGCAGTGCGGGGTACAGTCCTTTGTGGCTGGAAACAAGTAATGCCGCTTCTCCTCTGACCAAGACTTCACAAGATCCACCACCGAGCGGTACCTGGGAAGGTGGAGGCAATGGAAGAAATGCAGACTGTGTGCTCGGCGAGCTTGTTGAGTGACGGAGTGAAAGAAGGGCAGTGAAGTGACGGGGTGAAGGGAGGGCTCACTCACCGGCCAGAATGGACAGACAGGTTCTGGCCCACATATCTCATCAGCTGTGAGGGCCCGTGTGCCCAAATGCACTGGGAGGCCCAGGCCTCAGCCGACCTAGCCAGCCGCTCATCCCAGACCTGGGAAAGCAGAAAGGTCATGAAATTCCCCGCAGGAGGAAAACCACAACCATCTCAGTAGTGTCTAGAAATGCAAATATACATGGTATCATGACTCCTCCACCTCCTGGGAACCCTGCAATAAATTCACTTGATTAATGAGAAAACTGAGCCTTAGAGAAGGCCTGTGACTTCAAGGTCAACAGCAAGTCCACACGAGAGCTGAGATCCACACCTAGCCTTCTGACTCTTAGCCCGATGCCCTTTTTCCTTCACTGGACTTCAAGCTTGGGGTTCCTTGCTCTGAGGGGTGGGGGGTCCCAGGGATTGGCCTGGGAGCTCCCAGCAATCCCTAGAAGTGACTGAGCCCAGGATTGTAGGAAGAGAATGGATTTTTTATTTATCAAAATTTGAAAATGTGTTTAACATTAAATTTTTTAAATTCAAGGTGTGTTTGTTTTTAATAGTGAAAACATGCACACGTTTAACATGTAAGCTGTTGAAAGGAGAAGTGGAGAGTCTTTCATCTTCATCTTATACTAGTTCCTCCAGCCACCCTGACCCTGGAGGTAAACATCATTGTGAGTCTCTTGAGTCTGGTTGCAGAAATATTCCACACCCATAAGCATATTATATATACATATATAAACATATATGTATAATGTAATGTTTATATAATATAAACATTATATATGTTTATGTGTAAATATATGCAATTATATATCATATAATGTATGTAATATATGTAATTAATTATATACCATATATTGTGTTAATATATACATAAATATGTATTATGTAAATGTAATAATTATATATAATATATATACACATATAATCCTTCCTGGAGATGGAAATAGCAACCCACTCCAATATTCTTACTTGGAAAATCCCATGGACAGTAGAGCCTAGTGGGCTCCAGTCCGTGGGGTCGCAAGAGACTCAGACATGACTTAGCAACTAAAGTGTTAGTCACTCAGTCGTGTCCTACTCTTTGTGACCCCATGGACTGTAGCCCGCCAGGCTCCTCTCTCCATGGAATTCTTCAGGCAAGAATACTGGAGTGGGTTGCCATTTCCTTCTCCAGGGGATCTTCCCAACCCAGGGATTGAACCCAGGTCTCCCAAATTGCAGACAGACTCTTTACCAATGGAGCCACCGGGGAACAACAACATATATGTATATAAATGTGAATTTTTTTGACAGATGACAGAATGCCAGACATTCTATTTGGCACCTTGCTGTTTTTATTTAACCAGATAGCTTTATCTTAGCGATGATTCTACATCAGCACACAGAGAATACCCTCCTCTCCTCTGTAACGGCTTCTTAATTTTCCAATCTATGAATGCCCCAAGTTTTATATCTCAAGAAAGGATCACTTAAAAAAATATACTAGTTCCCTTCCACTCTGACTTCCTGAGATTCTGAGATATTATTTGTTCCTTCATTTCATCTGTTCATTTAGCAAATATTGAACAAGGACTCACAGTCTAGCAAGGAAATGAGACATTAAGCAATCATTACAGTTGGCTGGTGTGAGAATGTGAAACGGAACCTGCTCTTTCTTGGAGCCATAGAGAGAAAGGGCTCCTTGAGCAAGGGATGTTTAACAAGATACCTGTCCTGTGGGCTGAAGCCAGCTAGTGAAGCAATGGGGACGCCCAAAGAAGGGTCCAGACATCTCCTGGGGGTTGTGAGACTCATCCATTCTTAGAGAAAGCAGAGGAATGTTTTCTTCATGTTGCAAAGGAGTCAGCTGCGGTAGCGGCATGCAAACCTCTAACCCACACTCACTGGCCCTCCCCGGAGCCCCTCCTGGTAGAACTGTCTGGCTCTCTCTCTTCCACAATACATGCAACAATCAAACACCTGTTGCGGGGAGGGCCTTGCACGCAGGGCTGGTGCTCAATAAATGTGTCATTGTTTGAAAACTGGAGGGCCTTCTACGTGCCAGCCACTGTGTTAATCAATGGATGAGTCAGTTAATGAACAAATAAATGGCTCTCCCACCTTTAGCTGCCTGCCATTTGGGCTCCCATCCCCACCCCTCCCAACACCTTACTGCACCTGATGTCATATTCTACATAAATGTTGCGGTTGATTTTTGTTTTTTATCATGCCCACTGAAATGGAAGCTGTGAAGGATAAGACCATGTCCATCCTGTTCTCGGCAATGTCCACAGGGCTTAGCAGTGGTGTCTAACTCCAAGCAGGAGATGCTACATAAGTGAATGAACACATTGCAAAAGTACAAGCGTTTGCAGGCAGTTAAGAGAGCAGGTGTCTGTCTTACAGGGGTGGCTGACAATCCTTTTTCCTAAAGAAATCTGTAGGTGAGCTGGAGGCCTATCTCTACAGGCTAGTTTGGGACAATGGTCCTGGGGGAGGGGCTGTGATAATGAAAAAGGGTCCCTCCTCCCCTCCAGAGTCAGGCTGTAGGGGGCTGGGGTGAGACACCCCCTTCTCCACCCGCCCTCCACTCTGCTTTTTTGAAGGAAGACATCCAGCCTTTGCTGGTCAGCTGCTGTTTCTTCCCCAGCCTGTGCCCTCCACCCCCACCCCAGGAACCAATCCTCATCTCTCCCAATTCTACCTCTAGAGACTTGTGGACAGACTGGGAGTGTCATCAAACCCCTGGGACAAAGAGACAATGGCAGGGAAATCTCCAGCCACCCACCCTCTGCGGGTCCCCAGCAGGAAGCCAGAATCCTTGGAAAAGGCATTGTTAGTTAAGACAACAGCCTTAGCAGCTGGCAGATCTGGGGTGTAATCCCAAGTGGGTGACCTTCAGCAAATTAATACTCTGCTTCTTGATTTCCTTATTTGGAAAATGCAGATACATCCTACCTTGAAGGAAGAGGGTTCTATGTAAGTGCCTGGCGCACAGAGGATGTGCCATAAATCGCAGTCCTCTGCTCCTGCCTGCAGAAAGGACCTATATAAAGCCTTAGTTTTCTCAACTGTAAAATGGGCAGACTTCACAGGGCCCAGATGCCCAGATACTGGCTAGAGAGGCTAGACTCGTGAATGGTCCAGCCCTTCCAGGGCACACTGAGTCGACTGGCGTTTGCCAGAGGGGGCCCTGGCAGAGTGTGGGGACTCACCATATACTCCATGTTGGCAGCAGGCGGGTGCACGCTGGCCCGGATGTGGTTGTGATAATCCAATAAGGCACTCATGTCCCGGGCAGAGATGTGGCGCTTCCGCCGATACCGGGGCACCCCCAGGCCACTCAGGGGCCTCACAGCTGTGCCCTTGGTCTGAGCCAGTGCCAGGGTGGCATTGGGCATCAAGGCGTTCATTGTCTGGCCTGCCCAGAAGAGCAGACCTGCCAGGCCCACAGTGCCGGGCAGCGGGGGCATAGCTGGCTGGAGGGGGTCCCACGTCTGGCCTCGTGCAGTCAGAGCTGGCTGCCTGGAGGGGGTGGTCATGAGGGCACCAAACTCTGAGTGCTCCTCAGCATTCCCACCCCAGAGGATGCTAACTACTGGGAGCTTGACGCAGACCTCCCAACACAGCTCTGGTGGCGGGGAGTAATACTCCGTCCTTCCCACCTCATGGACTGAGTGGATAGGGCAGTGGGAAGAAATGCCCAGACAGGGACTTCCCTGGGGATCCAGTGGCTAAGACTCTGAGGTCCCATGCAGGGGGCCCAGGTTCAATCCCTGGTCAGGGAACTAGATCCCACATGCTGCAACTAAGAGTTTGCATGCAGGCCACAACTAAAGACCCTGTATGCCTCAACTAAGATCCGGTGCAGCCAAGTAAGTAAATCAATATTTAAAAAAAAAATAAAGAAAAATTAAAGAAATGCCCAGAGACTGACTGAAGTGAGACAACACTTCAAAGCCGGAGTTCCTTCCCACCAGCCCAGGAAGCAGACCTCAAACCTGCCCAGACTGGGTACCCTCTGCACCAATCTCACTCCATACGGGCTCTGTCGGTGCCCTCAGAAGGGCAGCGCCCACCTCCCCTGAGGCTGCAATTTCAGGATGGAGTTTAGTTCAGTTCAGTCGCTCTGTCGTGTCCGACTCTTTGCAACCCCACGGACTGCAGCACGCCAGGCTTCCCTGTCCATCACCAACTCCCGGAGCTTGCCCAAACTCTTGCAAGACACAGAAAGAAGGAAAAGGCTGAAAGAGGCAGACAGAAAGAAAATCAAGAAACAGAGAAAAAGTACACGAGGGAGACAAAAAGGTCACTGATATAAAGAGATCCAGGAAAGAGCTATGAGACAAAAAAAGTAGAAAGATACAGAGAGAAAGAGAGACAACATTGGGGCAAAAAGAGAAGGAACATGGGAGAGATAGAGAGAGAGAAAGAGGGGAAGAAAGAACAGAGAAGATGGAGAAAGAAATACTGAGAAGAGAACCAGAGAGAGGGGTCCGGGAGGCAAGGCGGCAGGCTCCCCAGGGGCGCGTACCCAGGATGGGCAGCCCAGACCGGAGGCAGCAGGCGGCGGAGGAGGCAGGGGACCTCTGCAGACGCCCAGCCCACCTGCCGCACAGCGACTTAAGCGGTCCGCCAGGAGCTGATGGCATCTGACGTCCCAGCCCCCCAGCCCCCTCCCCTTCCAGCCTGGCCAGGCTCGAAGCTCCGCCCGCCAGACCGTGGCTTTTCTCTCCTCCCTCTGCTGTGCCACCTGAAGTGCAAGGGGGCCGGGGCTGAGCTGCCGGTCAGGATGGGGCTGCGGTCAAGGCAGGGATTCCCGGACGAAACACCACCTCTCCTCAGGAGACCTCAGACCCCGAGCCTTTTCTCTGCCTTCCAGACCCCACATATTACGGCCACCTTGCATCCAGAAAATGTTTTTCTGTTTTCTCCACAAAGCCCTCCAGCCCCAGAGTTGGCAGTTTTCATACGGCCCCCCGTCTAATGAGCCTGGCTGAACTCGAATGCTGAGCTCGAGGTATACAAGCTCAGCCAAACCCTCAGAAGCAGATACGATCGCTGCCCATTTTAGATGAAAAACCTCCAAAGAAGTGAAGGAACAGTCCAAAGTCAAGCCAGCCTGTCTGCTGTGGTGCCGGGATTCACATCCAAGTCTGACCCCAGGGAGGGTCCTGCTAGTATGTAAAAAGGATGTCATTTCTGTAACCAAATCAAATATAGAGGCATAGAGGGGAAAAGCCCTATGAGAATATTAGAATATTTGGGGCAAGGCCACTCAAACATGGCACCATGCAGCCTAATTAATTAAGCCAGTGGATATGGGTTCAAATTCGCATTATTTTGTTTTTGAGGTTTTTTTTTGGTGGTTCTTTCTTTTAAAAAAATGCCTTTTAATGCTAACTGGTGTCCTTGGGCAGATTACTTAACCACTTGTGCTTTATCTGGAAAATGGGGGAAATAATGATTCTTTCCTTACAACCCTGATGCCAGGATTAGATGAATTCAAGTCTGATTGAACTGGTGGAGCACTGAGTGTGTGCTCTTTAGGTGTGTGTGCATGTGTTTATGAGGGTATGTGTTTGTTATAGGTGTACAAGAACACGCACACACACACGTGAGGGCTTGTGTGTCATATACAGATGTGTGGACACGTACATGACCATGCAGATGTCTGTACCTGCGTGTGTACTTGCATGAGTATGCGTGTGCCTGTATGTTATGAATGTGCAAGCACACACATACAAGCGCATCTTTCTGATGACTTCTGTGTCATATGCATATTCAGGGATGTATGTGTGTGTGTGTGTGTGTGTGTGTTGACAGAAGCCCTTTGATCTCTGAGTTGCTGTACTTCATTGTTGACAAAGAATTTCATTTTCTCTTCTCTGATTCCTTGTATTCTCTGCAAATAACAAGCGATGCTTTTGCAATGGGAAGGGACAGACTTACCAGAAAGGTGTTCCATTAAAAAAACCAAAGTTGAAGCGCTTGTAATCTTCAGCTTCCACTTCCAGAGACCTTTCTGAGCAGTTCCAGGCAGAACCCAGCCTCCAGTGCCAAGCTGAGCCCTGGCCCAGGAGACGATGCAGGGCTGGGAACTGGGATGGGGCTACCGAAGTGCGGTCCTCCCCAGACACATGGAATTCCCGCCCCAGGCAGCCGCCCAGCCTCAGCCTCGGCAGCCCAGACAGTGCCGGCTGCCAAAGCACACACCTTCCCCATCGGAGCAGATTCCCCCAGCCCAGGCTGACTGCTGGATGCTGGGGGAGGCAGGGCACACAGAGGCAGTGGGGGGTGGGGGCTGCTGACTCTGACCGCTACATGGCTTTCTCATCACACCAGAAGGACAAGAGGCACTGGCTCTGATCCAGCTCCATTCTCTGCCTCTAGTAGGCTGGGTGTCCTGGGGCAAGTCTCTGTCCTTCTCCGGGCCATTGGAGCAGCTGGACTTAGGGCTTTTCTGCTGAGATCTGTGACATACCAGGTGGCAGAGGAGGCGGACACAAACAGCTTTGGCACTGATGACCCCCGAGTGTGTGCCCCACTCTCTCTGAGCGCTGAATACCAACCCCTCCCATGTCCTGGCCACTTACAACGGTCCAGAGCATTACATCCATGACTCACTTGGTCCTTGCAGCTGCCTTTGAGGCAGCAACCCCGCCCATGGACAGATGGGGACACAGAGCTTCAGTGACTTGTCCTAGGGCCTGGTTGTTTGCCAACTGGGGTTCTGGCAGTGAACATTCTCACCCATTTTACAGAATGCACATGCATCCACTGTGCTCACACCACACACACATGCACATATACATGCACACATACCCTCCTCCCACAAATATGAGACAGGTGATTCCCCCAGTCCCTTAAATTCTTGCTGTTGGATACCCTCAGGTGCCCTTTCATAAATAAACAGAAACCCACCCTTTACACACTTGATCATGTTAATACATATAAGCGGCATGTACTTGTTCTTTTCTCAGTGCTCGGAACCATTTCAAGCACTTGACCTTGATGAGACCATTCAATCTTCAGACCAGCCCTATCAGGTCGGTATTATTATTGTCATCATAACCATTTCTCTATACGTGAGGGAACAGGCACAGAAGTGAGTCGTTGGCTTGGGGTCTCACAGCAGGTGGGGGGCAAAGGTAGGATGGGCCAGGCTAGTCCCACTGCCTCTTCAAAGAGACAGACAGACATCTGAGGAAGAAGGCACAGCCTTGAAGTCCAACCATGTATACGAAATCACCATCTCCTGGAACTTCCCTGATGGTCCAGTGCCTAAGACTGCGCTTCCAGTGCAGGAGATGTAGGTTCGATCCCTGGTTGGGGAACTAAGATTTCACATGCCTCGCAGTGTGGCAAAAAGAAAAAAAAAATCACTATCTGCCACCCAACATGTTCACACGTCCAGAACAACCCAGAAAATAACACTGGTAGCAAACATACAGAAACACCCCCCGGCCAATCCACCAGGTAGGACCTTCCTTGCTGTTGACTAAAGCTTCTCCCAGGGTCCCTTTGACAGGTTGGTGGTGTTTAGTTGCCAAGTCATGTCTAACTCTTTGTGACCTCACGAACTGCAGCATGCTCAAATTGAGCAGTTTGCTCAAATTCATGTTCATTGAGTCGGTGATGCCACCTAACCATCTCATCCTTTGCCACCCTTTTCCCCTTTTGCCTTCAACTCTTCCCAGCATCAGGGTTTTTTCCTGACAAATCAGCTGTTTGCTTCAGGTGTTTGCTTTGTGTTCAGCTCCAAAGTATTGGAGCTTCAGCCCAGCAACTGTCTTTCTGATGAATATTCAGGGTTGATTTCCTGTAGGATTGACTGGTTTGATCTCCTTTCTGTCCAAGAGACTCTCAAGAGTCTTCTGCAGCACTGGAACTCAAAAGCATCAATTCTTTGGCTTTTGATGATCAGCCTTCTTTATGACCCAACTTGCCCATCTGTACATGACTGCAGCAGGTTGCCAGTGGATAAAAATGTTAGGGGTGAAGGCAGGAAATAATCAGGGATGGCCCAGATGAATGTCCTGGGCTGGGATCTCACTTCAGGGTAAGAACTTTAGTCACCCCTGGATTTTGTCAGACTGGATTCAGCTATTGCTTCATCTTCTCCCCTACTGGAATTCTCTCTGGTCTTGGGCAAGTGAAGGGGAAATTCTTCCAGAAAGCAGTAGTATTTGAGGCAGTACATCTCAGGGACTAACACTGCTGACTCTGGATCCAGACAGCCTAGGTTCATGGCTTACTAGCTGTGTGACCATGGGTAAGTTACTTAACCTTTCTGCGCCTTGGTGTCTCACCTGTAAAATAAGGCTGCCTTGTGGAGTTGTTGTGAGGATTAAATGAACTGATAGATGTGACACAAGGCCTGAGTAAGCAGTCAGTAAATGTTAGCTATAATTGCTGATAATAATAACAACAATAACAGTCAACATTTATTTAGCACATACTAGATGGGCTTCCCTGGTGTCTCAGATGGTAAAGAATCTGCCTGCAGTGCAGGAGACCAGGGTTCGATCCCTGGGTCGGGAAGATCCCCTGGAGAAGGGAATGGCTATCCACTCCAGTATTTTTGCCTGGAGAATCCCATGGAAAGAGGAGCCTGGCGGGCTACAGTCCGTGGGGTCACAAAGAGTTGGACACAACTGAGCAACTAACATTTCATCTTTTTTCCAGGTGCCAAGCACTAAGTGCTATAGGGGTCTGAGATCATTTACATTTTGCTCCAGTTTTATGGATTAGGGTTCAGAGTCTCCATTCACCAGACGAAGAAGTGGAAACTCCGAGAAGTTCAGTACCTTGTCCAAGTTCACACATCTAGTCCCAGTGGAAACTGGATTCCAGTGCCAGGTCTCCGATTCTTACCCCAGTGTTCTTTTCAGACAATAAAGTTGCTTTTAAGAAGAGTCTGTGTAGGGACTTCCCTGGTGGTTCAGTGGTTAAGACTCCACACTCCCAATGCAGATGCACAATGAAAAAAAGTCCGTGTTGTACAACACAAGGAATATGGCCAAAATTTTCTAATAACTATAAATGGAGTATAATCTTTAAAAATTGTGAATCACTATATTGTTCATGAATTTATATAATATTGTGCATCAACTATACTTTAATTTTAAAAGAGAGATTAAAAAGAAGAAGAGACTGTGGAACAGGAGCCTGGTGCTTGAGAGAGGAGACTAAGAAAGTTGGAATGTCCTTAGAGATCTTCCAGATCACCCCTTCATTTGCCAGTTGAGGAAGTAGGTTCAGAGTGGGTGAGTGACTTGTCCAAGGACACACAGCAATTGGCAGACTCAAAACTTCAATCCAGATCTGTGTCACTCCAAGTCCAAACAAGGGAAAGAGGGAACTGGGAGGGAGGCGAACACATGTGAAAGATAGGAATGGTGATCCACACTCTTCAAAACTCTTTGGTCAAATGTTCTAAGTTCTTCTAAAAGACAACTGAGAAAATGAAAGAGACGGAGGTGGAAATCAGTAGATAGACAAAAGATAGAGTTTTTTTTAAATGTTTATTCTTATTGATTTATTTGCCTGCATGTGGGATCTTCGAAGTTCCTTGTGGCATGGGAACACTTGGTTACAGCCTGTGGGATCTAATTCCCCGACCAGAGATCGAACCCGGACCTCCTGCATTGGGAGCGTGGAGTCTTAGGTACTGTACCACCAAGAAAGTCCCTACATTATTTTATATGGGCAAATTTTTTATGGACTCTACTGTTGAAGAATACACACTTGAGTGCGCACAAAGAAATATTATAGAAGTCAAGCTGTGATTGAGGAGGGACATTTAAGGGGCTCCTATTTCTTGACCTGACTGGTGGTTACAAGAGGTTCACCCTCTTGGGTCCCATGTTGGTTTTATGTGACTTTCTGTAGTTACGTTTTATTTTTCAATACAATTTTTCAAGGCTAATTTAAAAGGTAATTTATACAATGACACCTTCCATCTGTTACTGTCCTAACCCTGCATGAGGACTTTAGCCTTCTTTCAACAGTTGAGGATGTGAGGTCCAAAAAAGGAGGTAGCTTCCTGATAGTCATACAGCAGGTAACTCTGGGGGCCAGGACTCAGCCCTTGTGGTTGGTGTGTCTCTGTAGCCCTGCTGTGGCTGGGCTGCCAGTGGTAGGTGGTTCCTGATCCAGCAGTGGGGGGTGTTGGGGAGATCTGACAACAGATTCAGAAACACCAACTTCTCGGAAAATAAATAAAGCACACCCAGAAGCACCTCTGGGCTCCCAGGTCTTCTGCTCTCTCTGTACCCAGTAAGTCATGTCACCTCTTCGGTGGTTACCAGAGTGAGGCAGGATGGTTTAGGAGTGGCAAGGACCAGAGCCGTGACCTCAGATGAGTGACCTTGGTCTGGGTGACCCGAGGCAAGTCTCTGAGTTTCAGTTTCCTCATCTGTATAATGGGAACAATAAACAGGCACTGCGTTATTTGGCTATTATGATAAATTCAGTGAGATACAGGAAGTGTCAACACACAAAGCAAGTTTGTTCAGTGTTAGCTATTAACCTGCCCAAGCAAACACCACGTGACTCCATTGACAAGATGCTCAAGAATGGGCAAAACTAGAAGACTTCCCTGGTGGTCCAGTGGTTAAGAATGTGCCTGCCAACGCAGGGGGACATGGGTTCAATCCCTGGTCTTGGAAGATCTCACTTGCCACAAAGCAACTCAGCCCGTGCTCTACCCTGAGATGCAGCTACTGAAGCCTGCACACTTTAGAGTCGTGCTCTGCAACAACAGAAGCCACAAGAAGAGAGTAGCCCCAGCTCATGTCTTCCCCCAGACCCGGGAAGCTCCATGCATGTATATAAAAATTCATCAAGCTGTACACTTAAGGTTTGAATACCATAAGTTACACCTTGGTCTTCCCAGATGGCGCAGTGATAAAGAATCCACCTGCCAATGCAGGAGACACAGGTTTAATCCCTGGGTCAGGAAGAAGCCCTGGAGAAGGAAATGGCAACCCATTCTAGTATTATTGCCTGGAAAATTCCATGGACAGAGGAGCCTGGCAGGCTACAGTCCATGAGGTTGCGAAGAGTCAGACAGGAGTGAGCAACTGAGCACACACACAAGTTACACCTTAAATAAAAACTGAGTTATAGATGGTTTTAAAAGCCTTTGTTTAATTTCAAAGAGTTCTTTCAACAAGTATCAAATTAGAATCCAATATAAGAAAACACACACACATACCAACAGAAGTATCCCAATTTTGTCTCCCCAACATATACTTCCTACCCAATACACAGTCATATCCTTCCCAGCACACCCACCAAAACCCCCAACACTTTATACACATAGCCAAAGACCCCAACATCAACACAAAGAGAAGTCACAGCCCAACAGAGCAGACATACCTGCATTCCCACTCAACCTCACAGCACATCCATCTTTAAATAGATGGTTTTCAACTCTGGGTGTGTGTGAAAACACACCTTACTTTTATACACACAGAGACACACACAAACCAAACCCATAGACCAAATTGGCTTGGGCAGATTTGTGAGTCAGACAGACTGGGTGGGGGTCTTGGCTTCCCCACTTCCTCACCGCAGGACCTAGGGCAGGTCATGTAATTTCTCTGAGCCTCAGTTTTCTGATCTGCAAAATGGGCCCAATAAGATCTTCTCTCATCAGATGAAATAAAATAGAAAGGAAGACTAGGAGCAAAAAAAGTTTGAGGGAAGGAGTTGCATGATTTGTCTCTGTATCCTTGATGACTCACAGCATGTCATTATGGTAAGCTCATAGGTGTTGTCAGTTCCCACCAGATTAAATTTGCTAGATTCCCAGTGGTAATTCCAGCAAGGTTATTGGAGGAAATTGGCAAGTGGATTCTGAACTTCGTGTAGGAGAGCCGTGGACCAAGAATTCTCAAGACACTCCGTTAGTCATAATCTTAGTAAAATGTGGCGATTCAGCAGACAATAGAAAAATGAAAAATGAGGGGACGGTGAGCCTGGGACATAGGGGTGAGCCAGGGGGACAGCAGTACAAGGAGGGGGGACAGCATGGGCAAAGGCTCTGAGGCTGGAGGGCATTTGGTTCATTTGAGGAACTGAGAAAAGGCAGGTTAGGGAGGACTGGAGGGGGCCCTAGTGGTGAAGAACCTGCCTGCCAATGCAGGAGACGGAAGAGACACAGGTTCGATCCCTGGGCTGGGAAAATCCTCTGGAGGAGGGCATAGCAACCCACTCCAGTATTCTTGCCTGGAGAACTCCATGGACAGAGGAGCCTGGCGGGCTACAGTCCGTGGGTCCGACTCACACGACTGAAGCGACTTAGCAGGCGCGCACGCAGAGGGGACAGAAGGGTACGAGGTGGCCCAGAGATGGGGGCAGAGGTGAGCAGAGGTGATTTGTGCTGTTTGGAGACCTTGAACGCCACCCCAGCTGCAGAACTGAGGACCTCAGTTTCACCTTGGCTTTGCCCTGTGCCCAGCCCTGGTGCCCACTGGGGATAGGGGTTGGGGGACACAGGAAGAGGAGAGGATGGCTTAGGTTTCGGGGAAATGGGAGCACGTCATCCCACTATGATCTCTTAGCATCTGACTTCCCACCGACCCCCAGAATCCTGAAACCAGAGGGGTGCTCCTGAGGGGTCCTCCATCCTCCTCCTCCCAGTCAGCATTCTCAGCAGGGTGTTTTCAGGGGCTCGGCCGGGGAACTCCCCATCCTCCCCGGTGTCAGAGAGGACTAGCCTCCTTCCATACAGGCCAGGTGAAGAGGAGCAGCTGGAGAACCGGGCTGGTCCAGCGCGTTTAACCCGGCGGGAGTGTTCCGCGTTCCCCGCGCCCATGATCGCTAGGGGTCAAGGCCGTGCCCTCGGGGGCCTGCGGCCGGAGGACTGGGGAATCCTCCTCCCGGCCCAGCCTGGACAGCTGCACGGCCAGGTGTGGCCGCGGAATTTGCTGTGTCGCCCGTCCGCGCAGCTGGAGCGGAAAAGCCTCAGCGTCAGCGCCCCCTCCTCGCCACCAGCGCTCGCGCCCCACATTCCTGCGGAGCGGGGCGGGGGCCAGGCGGCCACATCAGACGCCAGACCCGGAGAATTCGACCGGGCGGGGCCGGTAAGGGACCAGTGGACCCTCTGGGACTCCTCACCCCTTGGTGGTACCGGAACTGAGCCAGATCTCCCATCTGATAAAAGCGGACAGCGACACTTGGCCTTGTCTATTTCCTAAGCGGTGAGCCACCAAACACGAGCATCTTGATTTTAGAGGTGATCATCTATTGTGTGCCTACTGTGTACTTCATACCTGGCAAATAAGGTTTCACTTACTTGTCCTGGTAACAAAGTTGGTAGAGTACCATCATTTTTCATGTGAGAGAAAAATGACTAGTTATAGAGGTAATAAATTGTGTTTAGACTTGAACCCATGTCTGTCTGACTGTATTCTTTTTTAAAAAAATATTTCTTTATTTGGCCACACCTGGTCTTCCTTGAGGCAGGTGGGATCTAGTTCCCTGACCAGGGATCAAATCCAGGCCCCCTACATTGGAAGCAGGGAGTCTTAGCCACTGGCCACCATGACCTCTAAACCCTACCAACTGTAAACTTTGCAGAGTGTTGTGACTATGTGGCTGTCATTTTAGCAGTCAGGTAAGGTCAGATCTGGGAGGCAGTATGGGCCAGAGGTGAAGCTCTTTGCCCCTTGAATGCATTCACCCTAGTTTGAATCCCAGCTCTTCAGGATTGCTAGCTGTGTGACCTTGGCTAAATTACTTAGCTTCTCTGTGCCTTGGTGTTTCCATCTGTAGACTCGAGTGATCACAATACCTACCTGTTGTGTGAAGGAAGAGAGGAGTTAACTACAGTGAAGCACTTCGCACAGTGCCTGGCACCTGGTTAAGGCTCAGTATGTTATAAATCAATGTCACTTCCATAAAAAACAAAAACAAAACAACTAGCTGAATGTTTTTTGTTGTTGTTGTTTGTTTGTTTGTTTTGTTTTATAGATTTATTTTCAAAGGGCAAAAACACTTAAGACAATTTAAATACAAGTCTAAACAGAATCACTCTCAGTCAGCAATGATGCAGAAATGTGTTCTCACTGCCAGACACTCACCAGCATCTTCTGAGCCTTCTCAGGGAGGAAAAGGGGTCTGATATTTTATTCATATACATCCTTCTTATCTGCAATGTAATCTACAATTTCTTGTGGGCACATTAACTTCTCCGCATCTATATCAGGAATTTCAAACCCAAATTCGTCCTCCATGGCCATGATAATCTCCACTTGGTCCAAACTGTCTAAGCCCGGGTCTTTCATAAAATGGGAATTTACTGAAAGCTTTTCTGGGTCAATCTTGTCATAGAGTTTCAAGACGTAAAGAACACGGTCCTTGATTCCCTCCAATGTCAAAGGCGGTGCGTCGCTATACTGGCGGCACGGCTGTGTAACTCTGCCTGGAACCTGCGCGAGCACAAAGGCTGGCAGCGGAGCCCCCGGCCTCGTCCGGGTCTCCGCGGCGAAGAGGGTAGTGCTCAGCAGCCGGGCCGCAGCAAGCGTGGGGAGCCTGGGCAGCGGCGTGAAGGCCGTGGGAAGTCGGCGGACACAAGCGCAAAGGACACAAGCCGCCATGGCTACGCCGACCCAGGATGCACTGCTAGCTAAATGTTTAAACTAGTAAAGGAGACAATTTAATTCATTACTTTAAGACTAGAGGCATTAAACTATGACATAGGCACATCTGAATTCTATGCTATACTTTGGATGGGAAGACTGGAGGAAAAAAAAGTTTTAAAACACTCATTCTTCTCAGAACCTAGGCATTTTATTCCCAGTTTGGTGTTCTCTCTCTCTCTCTTTTTTTAAAATATCATTTCATAAATTGTGAAATATAACAAATGTATGAGATTTATAAAATATAAACATGTAGTTTAATGAATATTTTCAAAGCAAATATCTCTGTAACTCTCCCCAGGTAAAGAACCAGAACTTTGTCTAAACTCCCAAAACCCTCTGATCCCAATGGCTTCCCTCGGTCCCACGGTAACTGCTATACTGACACTGGCATAGTCATTTATTGCCTTTCCCCCATCCCCTTATTTTATCAATGCTCTTTCAGGCAAAAACAAATAAAAAACCAAACCAATCAGAAAGCCCTGCTTCCAAAACTTGGGATTCCCTGGTGGTTCAGATGGTAATGAAGCCTCCTGTCAATGCAGGAGACTCAGGTTGGATCCCTGGGTCGATCCCCTGGAGAAGGAAATTGCAACCCACTTCAGTGTTCTTGCCTGGAGAATCCCATGGACAGAGGAGCTTGGTGGGCTACCGTCCACAGGGTTGCAAAGAGTTGGACACGACTGGGCGACTAACACTTTGCAAGTCTCAGCCCGGTGACTGTGTCAGAGAAGAGGGTCCTGGGGTCTGCAGGATGCAGTGGCCAGAGAGAAAGCAGGCAGGTACTCAAGGCTGCCGGGGCTGCTGGCTGGCCCTCCTGCCTCTCTCCCTGTGGCCCGAAGATGAGCAAACCCAGATCCCTGCCCTGCGGTGCCAGCTCTCCTGACCCTGTGCCCAAGCAGTCCTAGAGGCTGGGCATGTGTGTTCTGGGGGCGCAGCCAGTGGATCCAACCCCCTCCCCGTTTGGCAGTCAGGCAGCCTGGCCTCTGGCAGCTGCTGGCTTTGCTCAGCTGCCTTGCCCTAGGCGGTGGCTAGCCGTCCCCTCCAGCCAGAGAGAGATGTGGCCAGAGGTTCGGAATGAGGGAGGCACTGCAGAGGAGAGCTCAGAAGGAAGGGACTGGCTGCTGGGGAGGAATACTTCTGCCCTCTGGCCAGGAGCTGTGGACAGAGGTCTGCCCGCTGTGAGAATTATTGGGCTGTCTACTGCCCTCCCCGCCACACCAGGAATGAATTATTTCAGGCACACCAGCCAACAAAAAAGCACCTGCTGGTTGCTCTTCCTGGAATGACTGCTTCCCACTGTTCCTCTGGCCACCCTCTGGCCAGTCCTTCCAACCCCAGCTTGGACAGAAATCCTCTCTTCTAAGAATTCTTCCCTGACCCTTCCCTGACTCTACAGCGTCTTCTCATGTCCCCGAGCATCCTCTGCTTAATCCCTTCTCATTTTTTTGCTGCATCTTTCAAGGCTTTATGGACCAGAAACCCCTCTCACAGTGATTTATCATTTTGGGAACCCCTTATTAGTAAAAAAAAAAATTAAAAAAAATGTATCATTATTACTTTCTGCTGTTTCTCTTCTGTTTATAAGGAAACAATTTAAATTTTAAAATAATTTTCTTTACATTCACATTTAATAATTATTCTTTATGTAACAAAATAAAATTTTTTGAGTGCTTAGTAGGTGCCAGATATAGTTTTAATGCTTGGGATGCATTAGTGAACAAAACAGGCAATGCTCCCTACATTCTAGGGCTGACAAGCAAGTAGAAAAGACAGAAAATAACTAAGTGAATTATAAAATACATTTTTTATAAAGTACATTTTTAAAAGACTCTCTGATGATACTCCTAATCCATAAAAACCTCCTGCTTTTTGCATTAAATCAAGTAATACAGGCCAATTTACTTTTAAAACTGACCAAGATCATTGTCAAAATAAAGATCTCTTTTCCAGTGGATACACTCACTTTTTGTTGTTATTCTACCCCAGTAGAATTTAAGCTTGTGAGTCTGTGGCATTATAATGTAATATGGTTATAAAGCAGAAAAATTCCGTATGGGAAGGCAATCAAAGCTTGCATTTATTTATGTATTTGGCTGTGGCAGGTCTTGGTTGCGGCATGCAGGAGCTTTCATTGCTGCCCATGAACTCTTAGCTTCGGCACGTGGGATCTAGTTCCCTGACCAGATATTGAACCTGGGCCCCCTGCGTTGGGAGTATGGAGTCTTGGCCACTGGACCACCAGGGAAGTCCCACACTTTCTCCTTTCTGGGTGTGCCGGGGCTTCATTGCTGCTTGAGGGCTTTCTCCGGTTGTGGAGAGCAGGGCTGCTGTCTCGTTGGAGTGCCTGGGCTTCTCACTTCAGTGGCTTCTCCTACTGCAGACCTCAGGCTTCAGAAGTCGCAGCACACGGGCTCAGTAGTTGTGACCTTGAGGCTCTAGAGGAAGGGCTGAGAAGTCGTGGTACACAGACCACAGACTCAGTTGCTCCGCTGAATGTGGAATCTTCTCGGACCAGGGATCGAACCCATGTCCCCTGCACTGGCAGGCAGATTCTTAACCACTGCACCATCAGGGAAGTCCCCACATTCCCTTTTATTTAATCTTTAGTGCACATATATTCATGTTCAGCCTGGCCAAAGCCCAGTCATAGCCTCAGAAGATTCCCACACAACCATTCACAGATTTAGTAATCTTACATTTTTCAAAGAACTCAAACTGCCATCAAAAGACAAGTAAATGTGATTTTCAAAAAATTCAAAGAGCAGACTGTTTATCTGTCCAAGGGAGACTTAGATGCGAGGATAAATTCTATAATCTCCAAACTCTTGTAGCAAGTGACGTACATGTGGAGCTTGCTTATGAAATTGCATTTTGCATTCAGCAAGAAAAAGCTACTTTTTTTGTAGCAGACATATTTTTGATTCTAGTTCTCCATTTCTTTTTTTTCTCTTCATTTCTGTAGTAAACATGAAGCCATGTGATTATAAAATCTGACAGCAAAAAACCTAAAATATAAAATTCTGAGCAAAGATCACAATAATGATAATCTGATTTTAAATTTTGAAACCTTATGAGATGGATTTGTAGAGATTTAGTTGAAAGTGCTTTCAAGTATGTATTAAACTTTTCTTTTTATGAATATCCTCAAGCTGACTTTTTAAAAAGAATAAATCTGTCTCACTAATATTTCAAATGAACATTTTAAACTTTCATGTCTGATTCTGTTGTTCCTTCATTTACTTGCTGAGATATTTCTTTAACAAGAAATTCACTGGCTCCCTGGTTATTCAGTGACTTTGTTCCCATAAGAGTATCAGGAAAAATGCTTGATTATTTCCCTTTATTTAATAGCTGTCAAAATAATGAGAGCGGATTTCTCCAAAGGTAGCCATTACTCTTTTTTATTTTTTTTTTCGGTAGTTAGTAATTTTAAAGCACATCATGAACCTTTGGGACATCCCTGAAGGTCCAGTGGTTACGACTTCATGCTTCCAATGCAGGGGGCACAGTTTCCAGGTTCGATCCCTGGTCAGGGAGCTAAGATTCCACATGCCTCACAGCACAACCAGAAAAAAAGCTCCTAAACAAATGTGTGTGTTTCCATCCATTGCAGTTAATACTTTTATTTAGGCTCAAGTTGTCCCATCTTTGGCCTTTTCTAATTGGCTTCTGCATCCTCCTGAAATGACCTTAGCAGTCCTTGGTAGGTTATGACTTCCTTACTTTCTGGTTCTGATAAGATGGCCCAGCTTTGTCTTGCCTCAGGCTTGAAAAATGTTGTTTTTTAAAAGATGAATCTATAGTTATTAAGGACACTCGTCCATCCAAAACATCAGAGGTCTTAACATCTAGCCCAATGCTTGGTGCATGGCAAATAGTTCATAAGTGTTGCTTGCTGAATAAATTAATGATGATCACCTTCACTAGGTGAAGTTGCTTGAGGTCCGAGGCCATATAAGTTATTTATCTATTCTTGAATAAACAAGTTATTTATTTATTCTTGAATAAATAAATGAAGGACTGAAACCCAACAAATTAGGTGATACCACGCAGTCTTAGGCAGGGCAAAGCCTTGATGTTTGTACTTTTCTATTACCTCCTGGTAGGGAAGGGTTGGGCATGGTCCTCCAGTGCCCTGGAATCTTCTAGGAAAGTGTTTCTCAAATTACAGATCCACACCTATTAGTGAGCTGTAAAATCAATTCAGTGGGTCATGACCAGCATATTTTAAAAATTCAATTTATAATTGAATAGAAACTATCGGAGTACCTCACACAGTAGAGGCAAATTCTGTCATAAACTGTCATGAAGCTATATTTACAGCTATATCTATATGCGTATTAACAAACATAGTCACTTATGCTACATATGTGTGTACTGGATCACAACCAGTGATGTGCTGACAAATGTTTAGCAACCCTCTCTCTAAGGGAAAATGTGTAAGTATTGTGATGTGCTGTTAACTTAATCACTTCAGTCATGTCCAATTCTTTGTGACCCCCATGGACTGCAGCCCACCAGGCTCCTCTGTCCATGGGGATTCTCCAGGCAAGAATACTGGAGTGGGTTGCCATTTCATCTTCCAGGAGATCTTCCTGACCCAGGGATCAAACCCTTGTCTCCTGCGTCACCTGCCTTGCTGAGCCACTGAGGACGTTTGTACATACATAAAAGTATAATAAATTTCTCTTAATATAAAGAATGTAGCACATAATTTTAAAATAATAAAATATGCAAATACTCTTCACTCTTAAATTCCATATAGTGAATTGCTTCTTCTAGAATACTTTCATTGATGTTTACTGGTCTCTTGTCTCCACAGCCAACCTCATGTTTCAGTTTAACCATGTTTTGACAAATGGAGTTTCATCTCAGTCCAGACAATCAATAAACACTCAATACACCAAATAAAGCCCTGATTTACAGTATTTACCATTTCTTTTAATGTAAATACTCCCACCAGAGCTGGTTTCAAGCTACAAATTGATGCCGACGAACACACAGTTGGCAAATTTGCACTGTAACATACAAGAGATATAAGCAAACTAAGGGGCATGGATAATAATAAAATAGAGTAAAATAATTAGGGAATGATGACTTTTGAATGTTTATTCTGCATTTAATCGTTCATGTATACATTGTGATTTTTAATGATGGCTTTAACAATCAACTTGCAAAAGTCCTGAAAATTTAACTATTTGTTCTCACAGGCACACAGCTGGACTTACAACATGAATATGTATTTCTTATTGTAGGTTGAAGTTTAATGAAAACAAGAAAAATTCTCTAGAGACCTACCATTCTTCAGGTCTGGGTTTAACCCTGTCTTTGAAAATCTTCAGGGATGAAGTTGCAAAGTCTCAATTGTAACAAACCCATTTCCTTTCTAGAGGAATACCAATCCTGAAATTTACAGGCGGTAAATTTTTTGCTAGTTCCTCTGGGTGATGTCTAGAGTTTTTGTCACCCAGAAGAACGCTTTCTCTTTCTCTTGGGATGGGGGATCAACATCTGGATTTTCACCAGGAGGGATCACTTAGCTTATGATGTCCAGTGTACCTCTCTGTTCCTAACCATCATGCAGCTTGCTCTAGAAAGTGACAATAATTGAGCAACTGACAATCTGCATGAGATAGAGATAGTTTCAGATACTATTTACAAGCTGCCTTCACAATTAACATCTTTCCGGCTGTGTTGTTTTCATCCCCGGTTATGAAAAGCCAAATTAGTGACTGTATAATCACTACTGTTGCTAAGTCGTGTCCGACTCTTTGCAACCCAGTGAACTGCAGCACGACAGGCTTCCCTGTCCTTCACTATCTCTCAGAGCTTGCTCAAACTCACGTCCATTGAGTCGGTGATGCCATCCAATCATCTCATCCTCTGTCGTCCCCTTCTCCTCATGCCCTCAATCTTTCCCAGCATCAGGGTCTTTCCAATGAGTCAGCTCTTCACATCAGGTGGCCAAAGTACTGGGGCTTCAGCTTCTGCATCCATCTTTCCAGTGGATATTGATTCAATCCTGAAATCCAGGGTTGATTTCCTTTAGAATTGACTGGTTGGATCTCCTTGCTGTCCAAGGGACTCTCAGGAGTCTTCTCTAGCACCACAGTTTGAAAGCATCAATTTTTTGACATTCAGCCTTCTCTCACATCCATCTGTGACTACTGGAAATGTAAACATCTGCTTTTTTTTTATGAAAGTATGCATTCATTTTAGGCCCATGTTGGGTCTTAGCTGGGGCACTTGGGGATCTTTCATTGCAGCGTGAGGACTTCTCTCTAGTTGTGGCATGGGGCTTAGTTACCTCGGGGCATGTGGAACCTTAGTTCCCAGACCAGAGATTGAACCCATGTCCCCTGCACTGGAAGGTGGATTCTTAACCATTGGACCACCAGGGAAGTCCCACATTTGCTTTCTTAAATCTAGTTTTTTAAAGACCCAGAGATATCTTGATATATAAAAACTATTATCAGATCAATGCAGTTTACAGATGGAAAATCATCTTGAGACAATTTTAAGGAATTAATACTTTTATTATTTTATTGACTCTCTGCATGAGAGATTTTAAATATCAGCCTATTATAGGCGTAAATCAGACAGGTGTTCCCCAAAGTGCAGTAGCTACCCTTGGTTTAGGGACAGAGGATTATTTTAGGCAGATAGAAAAAAGTGTCAGTCACTCAGTTGTGTCCAACTCTTTGTGACCCCCCTGGCCTGCAGAACGCTAGGCTCCTCTGTCCATGGAATTTTCCAGGCAAGAATATTGGAGTGGGTTGCCATTCCGTTCTCTAGGGGATCTTCCCAACCCAGGGATTGAACCCAGATCTCCTGCATTGCAGGCAGATTCTTTACCATTTGAGCCAACTGGGGAGCCCATAGAGATAATGAATATTTCAACAGAAACATTGTTTTTGTCATAGAAGAAACATAACTGGAACACAGAATCTGTTATTTCATGGATATTTCTGCTTGGGAGGCAGTCCTGTCAGCAGCCTGATTGCAGACTTCTGGCCTCTAGAATTGTCAGAGAATAAATTTCTGTTGGTTTAAGCCAATACATTGTCGTAATTTGTTATGGCAGGCCTAGGAAACTAATACAGTAGCAAAGAAATGCTTTGAGTTTGGGAAACTCTGAATCAGATACCCAGCCATGACAGAGGATGAGAGGGTTTTGCTGTTGTTTAGTTGCTAAGTTGTGTCTAACTCTTTTGCGACCCCACGGACTGTAGCCCTTGAGACTCCTCTGCCCATGAAAGGGTTTAATTCTGTGTTAAATGAGTGACTGACTCATTAACATGCTTATTGGATTGCCATTAACTCCCAGGGTCCAGCATTTTCACTCAATACAAATACGCAGTTGTTTTAAAAGGGAAGATACAGTATTTTAAAATGTAAATATAATAACAATTTCGAGCAGTTATTTTCTCACATCCCTGCATCTGGACCACCATAAGGAACCTTGAGTTCATAACTAACTCTTAGGAGAGATAGATCTGTCCTCTTCCCATTTTACAGGTGAGAAAACTAAGGCTCAATGGAAGCAGAGCCGCCAAGAGAGACTAAATGATGCTGGGACCATTGCCCCAGTTCCTGCAGCGCTACGTTCATTCTCCCCCACCTGCAGCAAATATTCCCACAAGCATCTATTCCTCTGACCAGAGCAAGGCACAGAGGTTGAAATTCTAATCTGCCTGACTGTGCAGGCCAGATTTGGAGAACAAGGAAAGGATGGATCTGGGCCTAGGGCAGCCAAAAATAAATAGATAGATGGATAGAAAGATAAACAAATAGTTGCTATTTAATAAAAAGAGATAGTGAAGGACAGGGAAGCCTGGCTTGCTGCAGCCCATGCGGTTACAGAGTCGGGCACGACTGCTCAATTGAACAACAACAAAAAAGTGAAGTGAAGTCGCTCAATAGTGTCCGACTCTTTGCGACTCCGTGGACTGTAGCCAACTAGGCTGCTCCGTCCATGGGATTCTCCAGGCAAGAATACTGGAGTGGGTTGCCATTTCCTTTTCCACGGACAACAAAAAAGAGGGATGAGCAATTCGGAGACAGGCGCGCTGCAGAGGCTGCAGATGGCCAGGAGGGGGAGCGCACGGGCTCCGAAGCCCGACGCCCCACAGGGGCGGGACCTGCGAGCGGCGCGCATGCGCCCAAGGGAGGCGGCGGCGCTGGCCCAGATGAAGGGCGAGACGGTGGCCGAGAGGGTACGCGGAGGCGGACGGTGGCCGACGAGGTCCGGCATGGAGCACCTGGAGCGCTGCGCGTGGGTCCTACGGGGGACGCTGGTGCGGTCGGCGGTGCGGCGATACCTGCCCTGGGCTCTGGCGGCCTCTATGCTGGCGGGCTCCCTCCTTAAGGAGCTCTCTCCGCTGCCCGAGAGCTATCTCAGCAACAAGCGCAACGTCCTCAACGTGTGAGTGCGCCCCGGGTCCTCTCCTGCCCTCGCCGTAGCCATCACTGTCGGCTTGCCCAGAAAGCCGGGGCTTAGCTGCTCTGATGGACGGGTCATTGGAAGGGGAGGTCCTTCTCCGCATCGTGGCAGCTGTGTCTACACGCGTGTCGCGATGATGGGACCCTGGGATAGCTAGTGTCACTAGCAAGTCGCGTTTGCACATCCAGAGCAGACAGTCTGAGCTTGACTGGGCAGGGGTGACTGGCAGGGTGTGTGTATCTCTGTGTGTGTAGAGGTGGGAGATGGGAAGGGGGCATGAACCAGCCTCTGTGGCTGCTCCCCGTGCCTCCCCTCGGGATTAGGAGTTGGCCCCTGCTCTAGGGGAGATGCCACCTCCTTCCTGCCTGCCCCTAAGCCTCTGCCCTAAGCTCTGTACACACCGCCCCCCCCCCCCACCCCAAGCTGGTGACGGAATCCCATCACACTTGGGTGGGGCAAGTAGACCTGCCTTCTTTCCCCAACACCCCTTCCTTCCCGGCCCCCCCCCCCACCACCTTTGAAAGCCTGTCCTAGCCTGTGACAATCCACCCCCCCCCCCAACGCCCTGCCCCGCGCTCCAAGATAATCACCCCCGAGTGGAACCCTACAGTCTGTGACCTTTCCCCTGGATCTGCTTGGATCTTCTCAGCTACTCAAAGTTCATGGCAGTGGCCCAGGAATGCAATTCCAACTGAGCTCTTTGAGACTTCTCCTTAAGTCCACCCACCCGCTCCTTTTTTTCTTTTAATTTATTTATTTTCTGGCCATGTCCTGAGGCATGTGGGATGCTTGTTCCCCCCCAGGGATTGAACCCACACCCTCGCATTGGAAGTGTGGAGTCTTAACCATTGGATGGCCAAGGAAGTCCTTTTATTCTTTTTTTAAACCTCTTGGATTTTAAGTTTTTGACACAAACACTCATTTGCAATAGTGAAGGGAAACTCCGAAAGATAAATCTTCTCCCTTGATGTGAGCTTCCATTCTTCTTTGGAATTACAGTGTCTGCAGTATCTTGCAAGAGTCAGTCCAGCTTTGCTCATCTACTTAAAACCCTAGTTTTCTTTCTCCAGCAGCTTCCTCACATACCTGACAGGTCTTGACTCCAGCCAGATCCTCACATGTCAGTCCCAGGGAAGACTTTCATGACAGGTGCTTGGGTATTGTCTGAGGAAGCTTTGGGACCCAAAAAAGAGTCTTACTGTCTCTGGCCCACCTTCCTTCCTCACCCACTCGTGGACGCTGGGCTGAGACTAGATTATGAGAGTGGTCCTGGCCCCAGGTGTCACTTGCATGTGTGTTGACCGCACCTGGTATCCAGGTCATCCACTTTTGATGAACTCAGAGGTGGCAAGCAAGGCAGCTGCTTGCTTAAGCTGGTCTGGGTGAGCTGGGTGCCCAGCAGCCTGGCAGACGAGTTCCTGTCATTTGAGAGTTTCCATGAATTCTGGTGTTTTGTTCCATCCCTCTGTGCTAGTTATTGGGTTGGCCAAAATGTTACAGAAAAACTCGAACGAATTTCCTGGTCAACCCGATAATTAATCAGAGGGACCTAGTGAATTATTGGCTCTGAAAGGGATTTTAAAGGTCATTTCGTCCCCTCAGTTCTATTTAACAGTTGAGGAAACGAAGACCCGGAGAAGTGTGGTGATTAAGTCAGAGTCAGGATTGGAACCTGGGTCTTCTAGCCTGAAGCCAAGCTTCTGTTTGATCATTTCTGCCACATAGGAAAAAGCCTTGGTACAGAAAAAGCATGGGTTTGGGGGCTGGCCGAACCTTGGTTTCACTTGGGCTTGCTGGTTGTGTGAGTGTGATCCTGGGCAAGTTACCAAACTATTCTTTATCTATAATATGGGGCTAATGACACTTTCCTCACAGGGTAACTGGGTGTTCTGTGGGAAAGTGGATGTGCGTGAAAGGTCTGTAATTACTTTCCTGAGCAAATAACATAGTTCTTAAGATAGTAGGCCCTGGATTTGAACCCCAGCTCCACCACTGATGACCTCCGCTTTGGGCATGATGCTTCTCTGTGCCTCTGTGTTTGTATCTCTGTACAGATAAAGTTTTCTTATCCATAAAGTGTGGATAATAGCAGTACCTCCCTCATAGAGTTGTGTGAGGATTAGGTGTTAATGGCTTCCTTGGTGGCTTAGATGGTAAAGAATCTGCCTGCAGTATGGGAGACCCAGGTTTGATTGGGAAGATCCCCTGGGTCGGGAAGATCCCCTGGGTCAGGAAGATCCCCTGGAGAAGGGAATGGCTACTCACTCTGGTATTCTTGCCTGGAGAATTCCATGGACAGAGGAGCCTGGTGGGCTACAGTCCACGGGATCGCCAAGAGTTGGACACGACTGAGCAACTAACGCTTTCACTTTCTTTGAGGTATTCATAGTTAATACACTTAAATAGGTGAAGTTGTCCTCTCTAGCTTTTATCACCTTTTGCCTTTTTCCCTGCTCACGAGTCCAGAGTCCTGAGACGTGACACACGCCTCTCTGCCACATCCCTGGTCTTCACCTCCGCTTTCCTCCTCTACCAGGTATTTTGTCAAAGTGGCCTGGGGCTGGACCTTCTGCCTCCTCCTGCCTTTCATCGCCCTCACCAACTACCACCTGACGGGCAAGGCCGGCCTGGTCCTGCGGCGGCTGAGCACCCTGCTCGTGGGCACGGCCATCTGGTACGTCTGCACGGCCATCTTCTCCAACATCGAGCACTACACGGGCAGCTGCTACCAGTCGCCAACCCTGGAGGGGGAGAGAAAGGAGCACCAGAGCAAGCAGCAGTGCCACGGGGAAGGGGGCTTCTGGCACGGCTTCGACATCTCAGGCCACTCCTTCCTGCTGACCTTCTGTGCCCTCATGATTGTGGAGGAGATGGCCGTGCTGCACGAGCTGAAGACGGACCGAAGCCACTGTCTCCACTCGGCCATCACCACCCTGGTGGTGGCCCTGGGCTTCCTCACCTTCATCTGGGTGTGGATGTTTCTGTGCACGGCCATCTACTTCCACAACTTGTCCCAGAAGGTGTGTGGCACCCTGTTCGGCCTGCTGGGCTGGTATGGGACGTATGGCTGTTGGTATCTGAAATCCTTTTCTCCAGGACTTCCTCCCCAGAGCTCCAGTTTGAATCTGAAGCAAGACACTTACAAGAAATAAAAGAGAAACAAAAGGGATGAGGGCAGGACCGGGGTTAAAAGGTTTTTCCGTTTCTTTTTCTCCTTAATTGTTTGACTAAATGATCGATCCCGCTTCGGGAAGGAAGCTTACTGGGCAGTTTTGGGGTACAGGGTGCGGCAGTGGAGTCTGGGGAGCTGGGCCAGGCCCCAGACAGTTCTTGGTGACATCACGCTGTGTCACAAGCACCGCCATCCCCAGTCAGGCACTTTGCGTCCCTGGCAAGACTTGACCTTAATCTGTTACGTCCCTTTTGTCCCTGGATGGCGAGCTCAGGCTCAGCGAGAGGGCAGAATCAGGAAGGCCTCTCTGGTGTGGCTGAATTGAGGGGGAGACTCCTCTGCTGCATCACTCACTCCCTGATTCTTAGCTGTCTTCTGTGTCAAGGGCTGCTGATGCTGTTAGTTAACAACCATGCCCTCTGGTCAGTTTTGCATAAGCATTTATTTCCAGCAGGGTTCTTTATATATATCAACTACCAACCGCCTAAAAGACACACTCTGGTTGTAGTATTTGCTCTATCTGTGGAATGTCAAATACTTCAACTGACTTGTGATTGACTACCAAAACAGTCACACTTGAGTGCCTCTGCGACGGAGTATTGGATACTTTTTATGTAACGAACACTGATAATTTTCTGTCGGTGTCCTCTAGTATATATTGGTTTTTGGAGCAATAAGGTTATCTCCCCTCCCCTTCTGTTTTGAGTGAATGCTTTCTAGTTTTTAATAACAACCATGGTATTTGTTCTTTGTTGACAGAACTTCCAAAAATAACTCACGACTCCAGTGTTGCACTTTGGCACACATGTCGAGTGCCCTGAGGGTTTTTAAGAACACTAAAACACTCTTGGCTTTATGGTATTTATTCAAGCTTGCGGGGCTCTTTTCTTGGTTAAGGATCAAACTGGGAAGCAGACATTTGAATAAGTTGTTGAATTTTAAGCTGAGTCAGAGTAATTTTGCAAAATGCCTATTTGCACTGAAACTCTCCTGACCACGCATCAGTGGTATTAGACTGAACAGTGTTTCAGAGTCGTGTGATAATAAGTCTTCTGTCCGCTGCTATGGCCCAGAGCGTTTTTACCCGTTTAGACAAGATTATGATAAGTCAGAAGTGGAGGAAGGTGTCTTCCCTCGCTCCTGAGGGCAAGAAGCCAACTTCTTTGCAAGAACGTCCCGGTTAAATGGTGGTTTGACTTTGACCCCTCCCTCTTCTTAATTGGACCACCACCAAAATCACACCAAACCAGGGTCTGTTCATCTGCCTTTGAACTTGACTTTTTCTTTCCCGTTTGCAGCATTCTCAATTTCCAGCCTTGTCTTCGTGCGGCCTTCACCGTGAGAATGCTGGAAAGGGTTAGATACTCTGTTCCGTCTGCCCTGCAAAGACACAGTTAGTGCTGTGATAAGATACCCCTTCTGGCTCTCCGTAAGCCTGTCATACCCAGCCCCTTGCATTTTGGATAATCATCCTGGAAGCTTCTTCTATACTCTTTGCCCCCAGTCAAGCCTGGTAATAGCATTAACTGATAAGCACTTGACTGGTTTAACTCAAGCTTAGGTTGCTAGGAGCTTGATGTCTGGAAAATCTTCAGTGTAAAACATATTGCTTACAAAGATGTATTTAAAATACGTATCTCATCCGGCCACAGGTTATCCTGTATTGATCAAAATGTGAGGTGTGACGCATTGCACCCAGAGGTGGCAGAAGCGCCTGGCAGTGAGATTCTGGAGGTGTTGCCATGGTGCCCTGGGAGCACTGGCAAGGTGTGATGGGCCCCCCTGGAGAATGGTTTTGCTCTCTGGCGCTTCATCTGTAAACCAGGGGCGGCCGAGGGGGTGGGATAGGCGGCAGGGGCTTGTTGAAGGGATCGAAATCTCTCTGAAGTGTCACGTTCAGCACCAAAAGGCAACAGACACAAGGTGACGCCAGATACTTGTTTGTCCCACGTAGATCTCCAGACATTTCTCTCCTGCAGGTCTGATTCAAGCTCAGCCCTAATTTAACTCCATGGCACGCGTCCATTGCCGAATCTTGTCAAGTCATCAGTCTCCCTCCACTTCCTGCTCAGTCTTACCGCCTTTGCCTGTCGCTGGGGGACATGCTTTCCATCTGTATGTGAGATATCATGGCAAGGCTGAAAGTGTTTGGGTTTGGGCAGGTGTGAGAGGTGGGTCCAGACCTCAGCACCACCACCACGGAGAGCTGTCTGACCACGGGCACGCCTCAGTTTCTCCATCTGTGAAATGGAGGTGGTCCTGTCGGGATGAAGGGAAATGATGAAGGTAAAATGCCCAGCACATGGGCGGAGCAGGTGACCATCCCCCTGCTTCCTTTTTCTTGGTTACGCCTTGAGGACTTTTTGGCTCCTCTAGAGAAGGCAGGGAGACCAGCATCTTCTTTGGAGTGCCATTCAGGGTCTGGGTGTCCTGTCGAAATAGCCTCGTCTTTTGAAAAGTGTCTGTTCCCCCGGTGCTGAACAAGAGGCTTCCGAGGGCATCTGCAGTCACAGAACACCGCCGTGCTAGTTTTGCCTCCGTGTTGAGGTTCATTCACTGGCGCCTCGTTTTCCACGTGCATCTGTCATAGTCTGAGTACCAGTTTGTATTTAGCGAATGGCTCTTGCCACTGTTTTTGTATACACACAGATCGTGTGTGTAAACAGGCAAATGAAGTAAACTGGAGATAATGAAAACCCCATATTGCTGCGTTTCGTGTGTTCTTTTCCACAACCCCTAATTCCAGAACCAGGAGAGCTCAGCCCGCTTTACGAAAGGAGGGTAATTTTTAGTGGAGCCCCTCGTCACAGGTAGGGAATTTCAAGGCTGTTGTCACTCTTAATTATTTTCTCCTCAACCCTGGAAACTAAGGATGCGTTGCTGTGTATGTGTTTCTTAGCCTGCTTTACTCCTTGCCTCTGTGCCACATCCGTGTCTCAGCGCCCTGAGGTCTGTATCTGCCAGATTTGCAAGCAGTTTTCTTGGCAGTAGCAGGAAGGCTAAGCCTTGTAGAAGTAACACAAAGGGTGGTTACAAAGTTGACTCAAACGAGGTCATCTGTGAAAACTCCTTCTCACTCTGGAGGCCTGTAGCCTGTGAGAACTTTCTGTACCTTTTAGCACCTACTCCTTTGTCAGCCTGACCTGCTTGGCGCCTCCACGCAGTGTCTGTAGAAAGTTCAAGGGCTCCAGGATTTGATGCTCCTCCTACGGCAGAACTTGCCAGTTCAAATGCCCTCAGCAGCACCAAACCCTTCTTGAGTTTATCCTGTGAGCCAGGAGCTGGGGCAGGATAATAAAGTCCCTCCCTTCTGAAGCTTGTGGTCCAAAGTTCGTCCCTTCAGAGCTTGAGGTGTGTGCTGGGGTTGCAAAGGTGAATTTGCTACATCTTTGCATCTGAGGAATTTTCACTCATGGAGAAGATGCCTGATGAGCCGACAGCCACCATCAAGTGTTCCGAGCTCTGCCCAAGGGCAGGGCCTGGCGACACAGAGCAGGGGACCACCAGCTACCCTGCAGGATCCTGAGAGATTTCCCCAGAACCTAGTTCTTTCGGGTCATGAAGGATGGGGAAAAGGTCAAACAGTTGAGAACAGAATCCAGGAACCTGAGAACAGCACACAAAGGCACAGGCCTGCACTGCCGTGACTTTCATTCAGATGGCTCTTTCTCAAGAGACCTAACTTTCCCCTAATGGTCAAGAGCAACAGAATGAAACATGGCAGACTAAAAGAATGTCAGTAGGGATCCTGGATGCGCCCTGCTGCACGCTCAAGATCACTCAGCTAGAAGTACGAACGCCTGCGTTGAGCTGCTTCCCCCACTGCTTTTTCTGCTCTTCTGTGTGACCTTGACCGAGTCACTCAACATCTCTGGGTCTCAATTTCCGTATCTGATAAATGGTGGGCACAGACTGGTTAACCTCACCAACTCTTCTACTCTCTTTCTCTGTTCTGCTTGATGAAAAGTTCTCCCAAGTGGGCTAGGACTTTTATTTAAGGAAACAACATGAAAAGAGACTCCCACTCAGCTGAGGTGGCAGCTGGCTTCCCAGTGAGTGATGGGGAAGCTGACCTCTGGGTGCACTTGATCACACCCCAGCTTTTCTCTGCATCAACAATTAATGCAGTTCGGTTCAGGATTAATGCAGTTCAGACCTGATTGCTTGGCTTCGTAGCAACTTCCTGGGCATGGAGAGCTGGACCTGGCTGCCAGAGGGATGAACTTCAGAAGGCTTTTTTAAAAAAGTCTCCAAAATCAAACCAATTTCAGTATCTGTCAAGAAGAAGGCAGGTTCTGTTAAGGGAAACCCTGTGCACTATAGTCACCTTCAGAAATTGTCGCAGAAACCCCTAACTCCATCTCTGGGGAGTTTTAAAATTGAACACACACAGCACAGAAAACAGGTCTTCCCATACCCTGGCGAGAGAGGAGATGGTACATTGGGCCCATGTGATTACATGGTAACCTTATAGTATCCAAACTTAAAATGTGCAGACCTGGGAGTTCCTGATGGTCTAGTGGTTAGAACTCTGGACTTTCCTTGCCTCAGCCTGGGTTCAGTCCCTGGTTGGGGAACTGAGATCCCAAAAGTTGTGCAGCGTGGCCAAAAACAAAAACAAACCAAAAGTTTGTGCAGACCCGACAATCTCTGTCTAGGGATTTAGGCTATGGGAATGCTCACCGAGGTGGGCAAAGATAAACAGAAAAGATTTTATTGCAGCTATTTGTGATAGTGAAAAGTTGTCAAGATTTATCTGTTGCCAATCATATAAATAAATTATGGTAACTATATCAAGGGGCTTCTCTAGTGCCTCAGATGGTAAAGAACCTGCCAGCAATGCAGGAGACCCAGGTTCAATTCTTGGCTCAGGAGGATCCCCTGGAGAAGCAAATGGCAACCTGCTCCAATATTCTTCCCTGGAGAATTCAATGGACAGAGGAGGCTGGCAGGCTATAGTCCATGGGATCGCACAGAGTT